TAACCTGGCGACTGGGGCAAAGGTTTCTGTATAGTCTATCCCCTCTTGCTGACTATAACCTTGTGCAACCAGTCGTGCCTTGTTTCTGACGACTTCACCTTGTTCATTAAGCTTGTTTCTGAACACCCATCTTGTTCCAATGACGTTGAATCCTTTTGGTCTTGGAACGAGATCCCATACGTCGTTTCTGGTGAATTGATTCAGCTCTTCTTGCATTGCCAGAATCCAGTCATTGTCCAGAAGTGCTTCATCAATAGAAGAAGGTTCAATCAGAGACACAAGTCCCATCAGAGTTTCTTCAGAGTTTCTGAAGCTTGCTCTTGTTCTGATTGGATCTTCCTTTCTTCCTAGAATAGTCTCTTCTGGGTGATCCAAACTGCTTCTGGGTAATCTCTTCTGAGGTTGATCAGCAGCAGTTGTAGGATTTCTAGCATTGCTTCTTTCAGACGTTGAAGGAATGTCTGTGTTGAGAGCTTCTGATGACTTGTCTTCAGAACCTGCAAATTCAATTTCTATACCTGCAAGATTTTCATTCTGCTTTGACTTTTCAGAGTCAAGCTTGTCATCAAAACGAACACTGATTGATTCTTCCACAATCTGTGTTTCTGTATTGTATACTCTGTACCCTCTTGAGCGTTCAGAGTATCCTAACATAATACACTTCTGTGCCTTAGAATCAAACTTGTTCAAATAATTCTTAGTGTTTAACATATAGCAAGTACATCCAAATGGATGAAAATACGAAATGTTGGGCTTTCTGTTCTTCCACAATTCATATGGAGTCTTTTCCAGAATAGGTCTTATTGAGATTCTATTCTGAATGTAGCACGCTGTGTTTATTGCCTCTGCCCAGAAAGTCTTAGCAACGTTTGTCTCGTTGATCATGGTTCTGGCCATTTCTTGCAATGTTCTGTTCTTTCGTTCTACAACTCCATTTTGTTGGGGAGTTCTAGGACAAGAGAAATCATGCAGAATGCCTTTGTCATTAAAGAATGACTCAAAATCTTTATTTTCAAATTCTCCACCATGATCACTTCTGACTTTAACGATTCTAAGATCTTTTTCATTCTGAACTTGGTTACAGAAGGTAACAAACACAGAGTGTGACTCGTCCTTGTGTCTTAAGAACTTTACCCATGTCCATCTGCTATAGTCATCTACGATTACTAACCCATACTTCTTGCCACTGACAGAAGCAGTTTTAACTGGTCCAAATAAGTCAATGTGCAGAAGTTCTAATGGCTTAGAGGTAGAAACAACATTTTTGGATTTAAAAGATGGTTTTGCAAATTTGCCTTTCTGACATGCTTCACACAGAGCATCTGAATTGAACTTCAAATTTGGAAGTCCTCTGACCAGATTGAGTTTGTTAATCTGAGATATTCTTCTCATACTAACATGTCCCAATCTTCTGTGCCAGATCCATTGCTCGTTGTTAACAGACAGAAGACATTTTACGTTCTGACTCTGTAGTTCAGAAAGTTTGATTTTGTAAATGTTGTTTTTCCTCTTACCATTAAATAGGATAGTCCCATCTTTCTGACTAACAGCTTTACATGATTTTTGATTAAAGATTATATCATAACCGTTATCACTTAATTGACTTATGGATAACAGGTTATGCATCAATCCATCAACAAGCAGAACATTATTAATAGAGGGAAGATTTCTGTTACCTACAGTTCCAGAGCCAATTATCTTTCCCCTCTGATTGCCTCCAAAGCCAACGTGGCCTCCAAGCTTAAGTTCCAGGCTTTGGAACATATGCCTTCTTCCCGTCATGTGACGTGAGCAGCCAGAGTCCAGGTACCATGACTGGTGTTTCTGACTTGCTGCTAAAGATATCTGCAACATGTATTATTTTATCCTTAGGTACCCAGATCTTCTTGGGTCCTGATTTGTTAGTTTTACCAAAACTCTGGTTGAATTTTGGTTTCACAAAGTGATTACTACTAGTATATTTGATGTCATGTGTGTGACCATACACAAAGTGTGAATTTAGAGGAGTGTGTTTAATAACTAAATCCATGACATTTTTAGGTGTAGGAACCTTACCTAGGTATCCTATTCCTTTCCTGCCGTTTCCGCTAACTCCATAGATCATTGAAGCCATTCTGCTTCTATCTATGCTTTTAGCAAGGAACTTCTGGAAACTATGATCATACTCCTTGATGATCTCATCAGCGTTGCTGGGAGTTTCAGAAATTGGTACCTTCTGAGAGTTTTGTAAAGAGTTTTCTAATTTTAAAATTTTATCTCTCAGCTTAGAGTTTTCCAATTTGAGACTCTCAGACTTATTAGAGTCAGATTCAAGAGTCCTTTTCAGGTCTTTGAATTTAGCTCTAATCTGCTGATAACGTTCCAGAATTTCATTTAGGCTTTCAGCAAGTTCAGCCTTTGTAAAATTAACAGCGAAGTTAGGGAATACCTCTTCTGTGTCTGATTCTGAGTCTGAGTCAGAGGCTTCACTGTCATCTGGAATGTTAGCCATAAGCGCTATGTTCGCCCTTTCATCATCTGATTCTGAGTCAGCTTCAGACGAGTCAGAGTCATCCCATGTGGCCATGAGACTTTTCTTCTTCTCTCTCCCAAACCTCTTTTTGGGCTTTTCCCTCTGAAGCTTTGGACAGTCACTCTTGTAGTGTCCTTGCTCATTGCACTCGTAGCAGATGATGTCTTTTGTATTTGGCTTCTTGCTACCTGAGGAGCCTTCAGATCTTCTGTATCCAGAGGAAGAATCTGTCCTTCTGTATCTGGAAGAAGACTCGTTCTGATCAGATCTTCTGGGATTCCTGAACTTCTTTTGTCTTTGCTTCCACAGTTGATTTACTCTTCTGGAGAGAAGAGAAAGCTCGTCTTCTTCTGATGAGGATCCATCAGATGTTTCTTCAACTGCCTGCAAAACTTTAGATTCAGATTTTCTGTTAGATTTTAAAGCTATAGGCTTACCTTGCTTCTGAGGCTCGTCAGCTTCCAGCTCTATCTCATGACTTCTGAGGGAGCTTATAAGTTCCTCCAGAGTGATTTTGTTGAGATCTTTCGCCAGCTTCAGAGCAGTAACCATAGGCCTCCACTGCTTGGGTAAACTTCTGATTATCTTCTTGACATGGTCAGCAGTAGAGTATCCCTTGTCCAGAACTTTGAGACCAGCTACCAGAATCTGGAATCTAGAGAACATGGTTTCAATGGATTCAGATTCTTCCATTTTAAACGCCTCATACTTCTGAATGAGCGCCAGAGCTTTTGTTTCCTTGACTTGAACGTTGCCCTCATGCGTCATTCTGAGAGAATCAAAGATGTCCTTAGTTGTGTCTCTGTTGGAGATCTTCTCATACTCAGTATAGGAGATAGCACTGAGGAGGATGGTTCTGGCCTTATGGTGATTCTTGAAATCACGCTTTTGTTGATCAGTCATTGATTTTCTATCAATCTTCTGACCAGTTGCATTAACAGGGTGCGTGTATCCATCTGTCACCATATCCCACAGATCAGCATCATGAGCTAGAAAGAAGCTTTCAATTCTGTCTTTCCAGTAGTCAAAGTTTTCTCCATCAAAGACTGGAGGTTTGCCGCTGAATCTGTCTCTATCCTCATTGTTGTCATTGCTGAAATGAGAGTTGTTTCCTGCCATAGTGTTTTTCTGACGCTGGATCTTTTACTGACACGGTTAAGTGTTTTAGCTCAGAACCAGGCGCTCTGATGCCAATTGAAGGGGTGAAAAACACAAGAAGGGGGGGTTGAATTGTAAAACTGGAAACTTAAAGCAAATGACAAGGTATTTTTATCCTGGTTCGTTTGATCTCAAACTACTCCAGTCCACCCGTTCAAGGTGATTTCGCCTCTCTCCAACGAGGTCTTAATTCACTATATTCAACTGAATACAAATCTGCTTTAGCAACTGCTAAAACCTTCTTGATTCAAACCACAATCCGGTTTGTCAAGGCAACACTTTCTTACAAAGATATAATCAAATGTGTGTGAATGTTTCTACAAAAACTATATCACAACTGTGATGTTTACACAAATTAAGCTTAGAATACTAGGATGCTAAACGCTAATGAAGTATCAGAGTTTGTTGGTTTAGCAAAACTTGGAGAGTGAAGATTAATGTTCAGCTTTGTGCGTGTAGAGAGTTTGGAAGCATTAGCCGTGATAATCTTCAAAGCTTGGTTTATATAACACTTTGAGAAGATGAACGTTGAAGCAAATATTCTTGATTCAATGCTATTAACAAGCTTTCCTTTTTGAGCAGATCTTGTCTAGAATGATGCCGTTGGTATTGATTAGCTTTCAATGCACAGTACCGTTGCTTCTTCAATGCACGATCTGGCTTGACTCATTCTGATTCTGCTTCGCTGCTGATGAACTAATTTGTTTCTGTATCAGAGTGTTTTACGCGCAGTTCTGTTCATCAAGCTTCAGCATGTGCAAGCGTTGATCATCTGATCTTGACGTTCTGATTCAGCAACTTCTGATGCTGATGCACAAACTCATATTCTGATGCTGAAAACGTGATCTTGCTTATTTTAATCAGCATATCTACAAGTCAGAGCATAGTAATTTTAGGCAGCATATAATTCACTCATAAAATATTTAACTACTATATCTTTTCACTTTGTTATCATCAAAACTTAAATATAGGGTACTAGATTCAAACATTGTTCTAACATATTGTACTTTCACAAGTACACTTGTGAAATCTGAAAGTATTTTGAGTTTTTCACCAGAGACTTAGAAGAACCCCACTAGATGGAAAAAGAAATTTCCTAATATTTTTACTTTGAGTATAACTTATAATTTCCTTGAGCATTTTCATTTTGAATCTTCTAATCAATAATCTGTAAACAACAATCAAAGAACATGTTTTAAATATGATTCAAATCAATAATATGAACCAACACTATTAATTATTTAATTTATATTACAATAATTATAAAGATAATTAATCATTTAAGAATTTTAAACAATGAAATTTTTTTACCTGATAAATGAAGTATGATTCAAGATGAAAAAAATACAATGTATTTTTTTTCTTTAGTGGAGGCATTGTCATTGCTGAAATCATTATCAGGGTTCCAACTCCAAGGAGAAAGAAATGAATCATCTTTCTCAAGAAAAGATAAGGATACTACATCAGGTTTTGCTTCTTTAGTTGCTTCTTCAACATCACTAGTAACAATGGAATCAATTTCCTCCTTAATAGCATCATCATCACTAATAACAATGGAATCACTCTCATCGTTAGTAGCATCATCATTGTCACTAGTAATGATGAAATCACTTTCCTCTATTGCATCAATGAGATCACTTTCTTCCTTTATAAAGCATTTGCACTTCATGATTATTGGTAGGGTAATATAGACCAAATGTTATGTTTTATTTGATGGAATGAAACTAAGGAAAACTATTTATATCTAGTTAGTAATATAAGGGCTGTGTGACAATTTTTTTTTTAAATAAGATATATTGATAAGAGAACCATAAATCCTCAATCCCGATTGAAAAAAATGGAACGAAGTTTGAAGTAAGAAAAATTACCTCCAATTATATATATATATATATATATATATATATATATATATATATATATATATATATATATATATATATATATATATATATATATATATATATATATATATATATATATATATATATATATATATATATATATATATATATATTCTGTTTCCTAATAACATTGATCTTATATATATAAAAAAATGTTATCTCTTAACAATTTTGAAGCCAAAATTAAAAATAACTTTGTAGTTTCACATTCTTAATTTATATTCATTTCTTTATTAATTTTATTATTATTTTCTTTAATTATTTATTAAAGATACTCATATTTCTTTTAACTTAACTACTTCTTCCTCTTCTATATATAAGTTTTTTACGTTTTATACGATCTAACCACCTTTTTTATTAAATTCATTTATTATTTATTTGATACAATTAATTTCACTCTTTATTTTTATTTGATTTTTCATTTTTAATTTTAATTTTCTACACGACTAATATTAAATAACTCTCCAAAAATTTGTAATAAATAATATTAATATTAAAAATTAATTAAATTAAAATAAGCTTTATAATAATTGTTAACCTATAAAAAGTTAAAAATATGGTGTATTTTGCTTTATAGTAATCGTTAACCATAAAAAATACCATTACACTAACCCTTGATATCGAATGAGTGTATTCTGGCTAAAAAAATTTAAACAATAATTAAATAAATAAAAAATTAATTTGGATTTAAAGTTTTATAATAATTTTTTTAATTTAATAAATATATATTATAAAATAGTTTTACGTTGTCATATAGAAAATCAACCATATGTTATGTCATTAATTTTTTTAATTATAAAACGTGATGTGACAGAATACATAACTGTCATTAATTGAGAATATAAAGTTAATCTGCACCGTTAACTCGCCATCCATTTTCTCATAATTATTAACCTTTAAAAATTATCATTACCTAATATGTATGCTAAAGTTTTATAGTAAATAATAATAATATAAATAATGTCATTACACTAACTAACCCCACGTTTCATTTCATACATACCCACTAACTACATGCTCAACCATCATGCTCATCCATACCCTCTAATTACATTCTCAACCATTATTAACACACTACATACATTTTCTTTTTAATAAATGGACAGTTTATGGGTTTTTTTATACGTAATTCATATTTCAAGTAGTGGTAAATTTCTATTCCTCATTTTTTTAGAAGTCATTCATTCTATTGGGATGAATTTTATATTTTGTGGAGTTAAGTCATGATTATTTTCTTATCATCTAATGTTATTGGGATGAGTTTTACATTTTGTGGAGTTAAGTCATGATTACTTTCTTATCATCTAATGTTACACCATTTTACTTACTTTTAACTCTGTTGATGTTTTCTGTATAAGTATAAATTCTAAAACATCATAAAATATATGTAGATAATTTCTTATTTTTATTATTCTTACTTTTTTAATGTTATAACCCTTTACTTCTAATTTTATTGATCTTTGTTAATTCTTGATTGTTTTTTATAAGTACTTATGATTGTTAACTATTGATTGTTTTTTGTAAGTATAAAAATTTGAAATGTTTTCAATAATTAAAGACGGTAGTCACCCCATTTCAAATATAAACTAAAGTTGATCAAAAAAATGATCAACTCCTACACAATGATTATTAATAAGAGAGTGACTTGCAATAAAATTTTATTTCACATTGAAATATGGTCATGAAATTTTTCTCTCCACCTAGAATCTTTGTAAAGGTTCCAGACTAATTCCATTGTTTTACATTTATATATAACTTTCTTGCATAGTAGTAAAGTAGGTAGTAAATTATTTTATTGTAATTTATTTCATTAAACTCCAAAAATTTTAATATTTATTTTTTATTCCTTAAAAAAATTTGTTTTTCTTTTATTTTAACTTTACAATTTTACTTCTCTATTTAATTCTAAACTAAAATATTTGAATAAACTACTACATATTGAAAATTTTCTCCACTTTCTCTATTTACACTAATATACTCTCTACTCAATCAACAATTTGTATCACAATGGAGAGTAAAACCATTCTTAGCAATATTTTTTATAATTGGTTTTCTTTTATTATTATTTCAATATTACATTTATTATTAATAATTTATTAATAGTAAAAATAGGTTAAAAATATTATACCTGATTTTTTTCGTATTATTATTAAGTCAATTATTATAATAATCTCACTAATTATATTAACACTCAATAATTTATAAAATTTACATCTATAATTATAGCAATAATTTTTTTGTTTAAAAAAATATAAAAAAAACTTAATTTGAAGTATCAAATATTTCTATAAAATATCAAAATAATTAATTTATATTTTATGTTATAAATACAATTAATATAAAAATACTTATATCAATATGTTTTATTTATCTTTTTTAATTACAATAATTATAAATAACATTTTAATAAAATCTAGTCGTACATTTCACTATTATACATCAATTTGAATACTGCGAAAACAAACAAATAAGAAAGTGTTAACATAAATATTTGATGGAATGGAACTAACTATGTTGCTTGGATCTTAAAAACAATCTCTGGCACGTGACATAAATACTATAGCCTACAAGATATGGTTCACTAGATCGATTTTACATTTAGTTATCTTTTTTTTCTTTTCGATTTCCTAATAAAATGACATTATATTTCAAGATATAGTTTAGTAGATAGATTTCACCAATTATATAGATTTCAAATTTTTTTTCTTTTTCTATTTCCTAATAATATGGGATTATATTTCAAATAAATAGAATACTATAATCAATAAAAAAAAGGTGACAAGAGAATATTTGAATAAGAATCTGTTATTATATTTTCCATAAAAATGTTGTATAATATTTCAAGCAAAATTAATTTATATTTTTAATGGTAAAATAAAATATATTGTTAGTCTGCATAAAATAAATCTATCAAAATATTTTGAAAATAATATTCTAATATTCTAATTGATAGATACTACGTTATTAAACTATTTTTGATTAATTTTAATCAATATATACTTAAATGATAAACACTTCTTGCTCCGCTGTTTGAAAGGTGGAGCAAGAAGCCCAATGACCCGTTTGCTTCTACGACCCAGGATAACAACAAACGAGTTCGGGACAACGGGCCCCTCCAAGAAGAAGGGTCCAAGTTCCCCACCTTCACATCCCCTCCGACACTAAAACCCGTTCCAAGTTCCCTACCATTATCCCCTCCCAAGTGCCTCACACTTCACAAAAAGCATGGCAGCGACCTACATATCTAAAAAGGCCTTTGATTATATCTAGAGCCTCTTCGACATATGTAAGTTGGAGCTGATGGCAGAGACGACTTTTCATATATTCTGGGTTGCTTCCTTGATCATTTTTGCAATTGTTGGTCGTAGAGAGGCACTTTTCTTGGGCAACCCTTCTTAAGATAAAGAGCAATGGAAGAGTAAGTATGACATCATTGACAATAAACAGACTCAACTTTAAGAAAAATTGTATGGGCTTCAGAATGAAGTAGGTATGTTGTTCAATCTTTAAAAGGAGGTGGATGCCCATGGCACTCCTTCTGAATTAGGTTCTAAGGTGACCAGTCTACAAGCGTGTCGAGGGTAAACAAGATCCTTTCGAAGAAGAGAGGACTTTTGTGACAACAATGTCCTCCCAAGTCAATAAAATTGAGGAAGCTATAAAAAAAGTAAAAGGAAACCCAACCCGAGGAGTTGGAGCCCCAAAAAAGAGAGTTGCAGCTCTGAAGAAAGAACTCGAAGATGCCTTTGATGACGGACATAAAGTTTTTTGTGACCCTTTCAAAAATGTTGTCAACGAGTTAGAGGTGTTATGCCTGAGTATTCATGTTCTCGGGTTAAGATGAATCTAGAGAAGATTGGTTATTGGAGCAGAGATTGTTAGTGATACTAAAGAGAATGTGGAGTGATTTTGTAGTCTTTTGATTGATCTTTGTGCCTTCAATGTTGTTTAGGATTTGAGAAGTGGATAATAATCTAAATGAGTCATCTCAAATGGATGAAGATGATGAATATATGAATGATCGACTAGAAGATATGATCTGTGGTATGGGAGACTTATCTTATCTGAAATCTCAATTATATGATAATTTATGCAGCGCCAAAGATGCGCCCTTATATTATGGGTGCGCCAGTTTTACACGATTGTCCGCATTGTTAAAATTGTTTAATCTGAAGGAAAAAATGGGTGGTCGGATAAAAGTTTCACATAATTGCTTAATTAATTGAAACAAATGCTACCATGAGATAACAATTTGTCGGATCGTCGTTATGAGCCCAAGAAGATATTGTGTCCAATGGGGTTGGAGTATGTCAAAATACATGAATATCCTAATGATTTCATATTATATAGGAAAACGTATGAAATTTTAGATCAATGTCCAGAATGTGGTGGTCTCGCTACAAGTTGAAGAACAATAATGATGATGACAATGACAATGTTAGTGAGAAGCGTCCTCCTTCTAAAGTGTTATGGTACTTGCAAATAATTTCAAGGTTCAATAGACTTTTTGCTAATGCAACTGATGCAAATAATATAAGATGGCATGCACATGAAAGAAAATGTGATGGAAACATTCACCATGTAGCTTATTCTTTACAATGGAAGAAAATTGATTCATTATTTCCAGATTTTGGACTTGAGCCTAGAAACCTTAGGCTTAGGCGTGCCATAGATGGAATGAACCCCTTTGGTAATATGGGTAGTAACCATTCTTCGTGGCATGTTCTTCTCACGATTTACAACCTATCTCCTTGGTAGAGCATGAAGC